TAGAGGAGGATCACAAGGTGTTGTGCTCTTGGAAGGAGCACAAAAATTCTTTTTCCCTGGTGCTACTGGAAAGCAAGCAGAATGCTAAACAGAGGGAAGAAGCCCGGCAAGACATTCTACTCCCTACGGTGGGATTTACCCATCATGCATTGCCTGTTGGAGTGATGAGAGCAGAGATGGAAAGCCTTGGAAAAATGAATGATGGCACCGAAGGACTACCCAAATGAAAGGCTGTGTGCTAAGTCCTCTCTGTGGTCGCAGTGTTTTGCTGGAGGAACTATCTGCCTGGGGGCAGGGAGCATGGAATTATTATTACTATCATTATGAAGATTACTGCAGTGTGTTACATGGGGGGCTGCCTTTGAATATGGTTCGGAAACTGCAGCTGGTGCAGCATTCAGTGGCCAGTGGGTTGGACTAGATGATCCTCAGGGTCCCTTCCAATTCTATGGATTTTGGGTAGGCAGAGACTAGGCCATTGGCCCATTTTGTCCAGCGTCCTTTGCTCACAGTGGCCAACTAGTTGCTCACAGGAAGCCCACAAGCAAGTCCTGAGCCCCACAGCAAACTCTCTGCATTTCTGATTCCCAGCAACTGGGATTCAGAATCCCAATGCTTTTGACACTGGAGGTAGCTACCACTTTGGGCACCATTTTTTAAAATTTTATTTTAGATGCCAGATGTTTTCCTATTCTAAAATGATAACTCTCGTTCTCTTAAGCAGAAGCTGCCATGTTACAAATATAAAAGCCCGTCATTGTTTGTTTTCCAAAATGTCAGAGTGGGGAGGGGACAGTCCACCTGGCTTTGGCACTCTTTGCTGTTTAAATATTAAATCCTGGTTTTTTGGGGGGAATACAGAAGCAGAATTTGAAACGATGCACTCCTTTTCATCTCCCTCTCTTCCCCCACATTTGTCTCTCTCCCCCGATCTTCACTCCCAGTTCAATATTAAATCAAATAAATGTCCCCTGCTGGGTTCAGGGAGGGACGGAGTTTCAGGCAAAGTGGCTTTTGAAATATTAAAGGAAGATGAAATAGGCCGGTGTGAAATATGATTGTTCATTCCTAATGGCGGGCTTCCAGCCATCATTGGCTGTGGGCTGTTCCCCTCCTCCCATCAAAACTCTAGAGAATAATGAGTGGGGGCTGACACAATAGACAAATTATTGTCTTCATTATTATGTGCTGATCTACGAAGTGTTCCCTTGCTTGGGTCAAAAGGCTTTCTGTCACTTTATAATTAGATACTGGGAAGATGGGAAGGGATCCCTCTCTGGATTGCTGGCCTAAGGGTGAAGGGTGGGAGAGTCTAGGCTTCTGGGATCTGCTATATATTTTTGTACTGGTACCCTGAGAGCCATTTCTAAATTTGTGGCTCAGTATGAGGGGACAGAATCGTTGAATCATAGGATTGCAGAGTTGGAAGTGACCAGCTGAAGGAGTTGCACCAGCTGTCTGCTGTTGTTGCTGTTACAATCATTATTTGTTAAATTTATTGGTTGCTTTTTCTTGCCATAGGCCAATTGCAATTGCCATAGGCCCCCCGCCACCTATACATTCGATTAAAAGGGAGCAGGGACTTAGTTGCTAAGTTCAAGGTACTGGTTTTGCCTTTCATGAAAGAGAAAATGAACTTGTAATATCTGGATTTGAAGACTGAAAAACTACTGGTTTATAGTATCAGGTAGGTAGCAGTGTTGGTCTGACGCAGTCGAAATAAATTAAAGAATTAAATTTAAAGAATTAAAGAATTGTCCAGTAGCACTTTAGAGACAAACTAAGTCTGTTCTGGGTATAAGCTTTCGTGTGCATGCACACTTCTTCAGATACACTGAAAGAGAAGTCACCACACCCTTATATATAGTGGGAGGGTGGGGTGGGATTCACACCTTATAGGAATTGGTTATTTAGTGCTGTGGCACTTGCCCTCTGGAATTTCTTCCCCTTGAATATTAGACAGGCATCATTTCTGCTGTTGATTTGGTGCCACCTGGAGACCTTCCTCTTCCAACAAGACTTTTAGTCAAGATCTTTCCCAGTCTCCACCCCCACCGCTCAGCCCGGACACTGAGGTCCTCCTCCGAGGGTCTTCTGGTGGTTCCCTTATTGAAAGAAGTGAAGTTACAGGAAACCAGGAAGAGGGCCTTCTCAGCAGTGGCACCCTCCCTGTGGAACACCCTCCCATCAAATGTCAAGGAGATAAAGAACTATACAACTTTTGGAAGACATCTGAAGGCAGCCCTGTATTGGGAATTTTTTAATGTCTGACGTTTTATTCTGTTTTTATATGTATTGGAAGCCACCCAGAATGTCTGGGGAAACCCAGCCAAATGGGTGGGCTATAAATAAGAAAATTACAAGGTGTGACCAGAAAGTTCGGTGAATGGTCACAGAAATCGGACAGGGAGAAATATTTGAACATACAATCGGCATTGAAAGCCCAAGAAACGTTCACAATTGTGTACGGAGATGAAGCTGTAACTCGAAAGACAGTGTATGAGTGGTTTAAGTGTTTCCGTGAAGGGCGGCAAACCATCGAAGATAACCCTCGGTCTGGCAGTCCGTCGATGAGCAGAACAGCGGCAAATGTCAACAGAGTTTGTGAGTTATTGATGCGGGATCGGCGTTTGTCCATCCGACTGATGGTGGAAGAATTGCATATTCCGCGTGAAATCGTTACCGAGGTTACTGAGATGTCCCACCCTCCATATTCTCCTGATCTGGCCCCACTGGATTTCTTCCTTTTTCCAAAACTGAAATCTGCACTGAAAGGGCACAGATTTTCCAACATTTCACACGTCCAAGCTGCTGTGACAAGGGAACTGAAAGCAGTACGAAAAGAGGACTGGAGAAGTTTCCAACAGTTCTACAAATGTTGTCAATGGTGCATTGTATCAGAGGGGGCCTACTTTGAAGCACTGTAAAGTATGCATGTTTGAATATTTCTCGCTGTGACCATTCTCCAAACTTTCCGGTCACACCTTGTAGTATTATTACTAGTAGTAGTAGTCTGCCACTGTATTGGAATTTTTTTCTGATGATTTAATTCTTGTGCTTTCCTGGGTCAGGATGGCAGACCAACTCTGCCGTTACAAAGATGTCTGTGAACATGACATGAAGGCTGGCAATGTCAACCCTACTGTGTGGGAATCCCTTGCAGATGACCACAGTGCCTGGAGACAAGACAGTCAGGTTGTGTATCCACAGCAGTGACCAGAGGAGAAATGACCTCTGGGAGGAGCGCAGAGAGAATAAATGCCATGGTGCATCTGCAGCAGCACAACCAGATGCCCTTATCTGCCCCAGCTGCAACAAAACATGTCCCTCGTGTATCAGTCCCTACAGCCACAGCAGGCGCTGTAACTCTCTAGCTGTTTGACTTCACCCTCCATTGTCTCCCAACAATGCCAACGACAGATAAATAAATAAGGACTTGGTGCCTCTGAATAGAGATGCAGGAAGAGTTCCTTTGCACTTCCTGAACCCAGAGCAGAGTCAGTGAGGCCCAGAGCTAGAGAGAGAGGCCAAGAGGGACATTTGTGGCCCTGACGTTCCCCACCACTGCAGTAAACAAACTGGGACACAGCTCTCCTTCGAAATGCACACTTTTGCTATGCCCTGCTCCAGTTTCTTCTCTAGGTAAAAAGGAACACATTCACTATGTGCCCCAAAGTCCTTGCTTTGAATTGCAATAAAATTAAAGAGAAATTCATCTGGTGGAAGAAAGGTGAGTGCAAACCAACAGAAGTTAAAAGTGGACTAAGAATGAGACGGTTTTTATTTCTTTTCACAGAAAGAGGTGATCAATCACGGGGGTAGGCCTGCTACCAGTGGGGATGGATTTGCCATTGCTTTTGTTTTAAATCAAGTGCTGAACAGAGAGATGTTGTACATACAAATCTGCTGTAAACCCTGGAACAATTTGGTGAGGTTCTAATTAGAATGGCTCGAGGGAAGAAATGAAACAATGTAGGAAATTATGTTGAGCCTACAGACGAAACTAGTAGGACCTTGGAGAGTGTTATGGAGATTCAGGAAACAAAAGAGCTCAATTCAATCCATTGCATTTATAATCCAGCAACATGCTGCAGTTGCAAACATATACACACTTTACCTGGAAAGCAAATCTAATTGAATTCAGTTCAGTTTATGAGTTGACATTGGTGAAGTGGATCATGAGTTGATTACAGGGGAAGATTAGTTCCCCCTCTTTCTGTTCCTTCTTCTCCCTTCCAACTTCTATTGTTTTGAGGTCCCTTTATTTACCAAAGTGAGTCACTACAAGATTTCCCTGGGCACAAAGCAGTGAACTATGGTTTGTCCCACAGAGAAGCAAACAAACCATAGCCTGTTTCTCCAAAGGTTGTTTTTCAGCTCTCCTTGTCCACTGATGCCTTTGTGCCTTGGCGGGTGTCTGGAGTGGGATAGCTGAGTTGTAGTTACAGCAAACTGATATTTGTAAGCCAACAACAAACCATGGCTTCCTCCTAAAAATTCCTCCTGCTGAGTTGAAGAGAAATATAACTGTTTCTGATCAATACAGTCCAAAACCCACAGAGGAGGGTGCAGTCACCCTAAACCAGGGTTGGGCAATCTGTGACTGACCTGATGCTGTTGGACTCCAACTCCTGTCAACCGCATCCAGGATGGACCATGGCCAGAGATGGTATAACAATTGAAGAGCCACAGATTCCCCATCCCTAACCTAAATGATGATGCTTCCGTTTTTAGAACCAGCAACACACAAGGTGTGGGGCTCCATGGGATTGCGTGGCGAGTTCCCGCCCCCCACCAGGATAAATAAAGACACGAGACACCATAATTTAAGGTTAAATGGGCGAATTAGGCCACAACTTTATTGAATTCAGGAATGAGAGGCTTTGGCTTAGGCATTGGTCCTATCGACTATCCGGCTCCAGCCCATTTGCTGGAGACATGGGAAGGGTTAACACCATAGAGGGGGAGTCTCCTGCTGAGGCTTCTTTAAATCCAATTTTGCCGGCTGTGCAGCGAAGCGGCAAGACGTGAGCAGCCGACGATCCTTTAAAGCGGACAAAGCGGTTGGATGGGTAGGGATTCCTCACAGCACGTTGCGTGCGGTGCGCGGGGAGCCGGGGAGCGAGGAGATCGGGGGGAAACAGGAACCAAAAGTTCGAACCTGCAAAAAAGACCTGGAAAAGCCACGTAAGTGAACCAAGCACAGTAACCTAAAACAAAGTATACAAACCTCTGACAAAACCTCAGAAAAACGTGGGGGCTAGCTGGCAAAAAGAGGGCGAGCCCCCTCTGCGCCGGCCCTAAATAGGGCAGGCCACGGCCCCTCCAGCCAGCCGAGGGGGGGAAGACGCGCCGGGATTCCCCTGTTCTCGCGGGGGCTGAAACCAGCCCCCGCTCACGTGGGGGTGGGCGTGAAGCCCACAACCCCACCTCCTGGGCAGGCCGGAAGTGGCTTTGTATGAAAAAGATGGGAAAAGTGAAACTGATCACTAGTTTTCTGCAAAGCCCTTCTCCCTACAATGCCCCATTACTGGGCCAAATGCCCATATTGTCTGGTGGCTGAGGATGTCAGCCCATCTTTAACCAGGCAACAAAGCATTGTCATTTATAAGGGACGAGGCTTTCCTCCCTTTGTTTACCTCTGATCGCAACATAAGCATGGGGATAACTCTCATTTTGAGAAGTGCTGCTTGACTCATTCAGCATTTGCATATGAACCGTCTCTGGCTACTCTCTGAAAGCTTCAGAGGCACTTCAGATTCCAAAGTGAAAATGTGGAATATGCGCCAGGAGGAGTGCGCTCAGCTCTTGCCTTTATTCTGGCTAAGCTAATCAGAGTGATCTCTTGAACTTTGAGTGAATGAGCACTTGAGTGATATGATTGTCCCGAATTGCTGTTTTTGCCTCAGAAATAGTGATAGCAGCTAAAGCAGCTGACTCTGCTGTTCTGTTTTGAACTGGGCCATTTTAGGGACAAATTGCACTTTGGACTGGTGGTTTGCACATACAGTGCTACCTCGGGTTAAGAACTTAACTCGTTCTGGAGGTCCGTTCTTAACCTGAAACTGTTCTTAACCTGAAGCACCACTTTAGCTAATGGGGCCTCCCACTGCCACTGCGCCACCGTTGCACAATTTCTGTTCTCATCCTGAAGCAAAGTTCTTAACCCGAGGTACTATTTCTGGATTAGCGGAGTCTGTAACCTGAAGCGTCTGTAACCCGAGATACCACTGTAATGCAAAGCCTTGGGCTAGCTTTGGCTTGCTTGAACATGTGAACCCTGTGGCAAACTCCCTCCATAATGATGAGAGGGACATAACAAGACCAGGTTTGGTGTGCTTTAAAACTTAGACTGTCAGCAACACTTGAGAGGTCTGAGATTCTCTGCATGTGGTAGCATTTACTAATACCCCACAGCAAGAACTTTTAATTATGTGAAAGGAAAACCTGTGACCATTTATCCCGCAACCAGAAAGTTAAGGATGTGGCATCTGGAACCCAAATAGGAATTTTCTTTATACACACTCAAGGAGGGTTGAAGCTTAATGGTTAACTTTGATAAGGCACAATATTTCATTTCAGTCAAAATCGCTTTACAGAAGGAATTAAGAACTTTACTTACAACTTCCACTGCAAGCCTGTTTCTAGTTAAACCAATTGGATAGGAAAAGGCATTTCTATAAGAATAGCATCGTGTGAACATTGCAAAAAACCAAAATGAAACCTTGCTTCCACAATCAGCAGTGAGCACACCACAAATTGCTGTGTCTACAAGAGCCCTTTGTTTCTGAAATCTGGTTTCAATTATTATTTGAGCGAATTGTTTGCTTTAGTATTTGATTCTTCCCGGAGTGCCTTGGCAAGTGAGTGTGTCCCACATGTTCCACAAAATGAATGCCATAAATCAATTGGCGGTGGCCAATCTTTGCAGCGAAATGTCCTTGCACAACCAGTTCAACTAGGAGAACATTATGTGAGCCCAGATAGAAAACAAGCAGCCCACTGCCCTTTGCAGGAATCGAAGTTCTGAATAAGGGACCTGAAAACAAATAGCATTTTAAAAAAAATTTGTCAAAAGATGTCATAGGATACAAGGTGTGGGTAGAAATCCCACCACTCCTGGTTTCTATGGAGAGATGCCTGCTTCTCTCTCTCCCTTTCTCTTCTGCTCACTGTTACGAGAGAGAGAGAGAGAGAGAGAGAGAGAGAGAGTACAGCATCATCTCAGTGTGACAATTTTCTTCATCAAAAGGGCTCAGAAATAATTTAGGGACTGCCTGCCTGCAGATTCAAATCCTTTGGAAGAGAGCGGTATTAAAAATGGATGCATCAGCCTTTGCTGCTTGGGGGTCTTATAACAGTCCAGTCCCTGGTCTCTTTGAACTTGACAAAGAGCAAATGATAAAGAACAAATACGTCACCAGACTGAATCTGGATTCCAAAAAGAAAAGCTTCAGACTTCTTGTAGAGTTTTTAAAAAATTGACTTCACAGGATTGATCCCCAGACCTTTTGTCAAGAAAGGCTTTCAGAGCAGCTGACAAAAACCAGTTCTAAAACAGTTCCTGCCTCAGACTTGGCATCTAAAAAGACATGACATGTGAGGAAAAAGCAATGGGAGGGAGGAGGAGAAAGCAAGCTCGAGCACCAGGTTGTAAAAGTTACAGTTTGTAAAGTCACCAATGATGTCAGAGGTGCCTCTGGCTGCATTTGGGAAAGCACAGTCCCTCCCCGAAGCAGCCCCACCCCAAATGATCAGATCCAGGAGCAGAGCTGGTGACGACACCCAGACAGTTCTTCCAGACAGCTGACCTGATGGCAGCTAGAACCACCATATTTTGTTAATTTGTTAATAACATTTTGTTAATGACATCAGTCAATTCCAACAAAACTTGTGGAGCGTTGCATGCTTACATCAGTCACCTATCAGGAGAAAACTTAAACAGGGGCACTGCCATATAACTGAATCATTGAGAATCAGAGAATTGTAGAGTCATCTAGTCCAACCTCCTGCAATGCAGGAATCGCAGCTAAAGAATCCCTGGCAGCTTCAACTATCTATGACATAGCCTCTCCGTGCCTGAGTGGCTGGTGGTCTAACATTAGCACTACTTCTGTTTACATAGCTGAGAAAGGGGGACCACACCTTGTTATAATGATTGTGTTTCCTTTGGCCTCTAACAGCCCTGCTGTGTTGTGTTAAATGCTCAGGAAAGAGCCATGTCCCAAACATTCCCTTGCCATCCCATCAGGGAGGAACCACTGGGTTTCCAATTGTGGGAATGTTCAGGGAGGCAGGAGAGGATATATTGTTTATTAATATGCTTCCTAACTTGCGCTAGCAAGTTCTATAACTTAACAGAGTTTTACATTTCCCTTTTAAACACACAGCAGATAGCTGGTTGCAGGCTTGTTTAAGCCTCTCAATATTAGATTCCTGGTAAGTTCCCTTATGTTGTTGTTGTTTAGTCATCTAGTCGTGTCCGACTCTTCGTGACCCCATGGACCAGAGCACGCCAGGCACTCCTGTCTTCCACTGCCTCCCACAGCTTGGTCAAACTCATGTTCGTAGCTTTGAGAACACTGTCCAATCATCTCTTATATAAGTTCCCTTATATCCCTCTTAAAAGAATAAACACACCACAATCTTGTGTAAAGTATATAAAAGAAGTTTACTCACATAATCATTTCACAGTTGGATCCCTGAAGGCAGACAGTTACAAAGTATATACATGTGGATCTATCCCTTATGGAGATAGTCCCAGTATCCTCTGTTGGCTGAGGGCCAACAGAGCAATTCTAGCTGAAAGCTGCTCCAACGGCGGAGGAAGTAAAAGAGAGAGGGTGTGCTGCATGCCTTGTCCTTTTGTTACCTGGACAGGTAAGGTCACGCCCACCTCTAGTCACATGCAAAAAGGAAGTATGCCCCCGCCAGGAGGAAACAGGAAGTTTTCGACTGGCTAGACCAAACATTCCCTCGCATGTCCACTCTAGGAAAACAAGGAATGTTGTACTTGACTGCTACTTATGTATCACATCCCACACCAATGTCAGCTGGGTCCTTATGCATAAGGGGAGGGTTTAGATCAGCATCTAGCGGCAGAAGGGTTTGGGCTCAATGGTTGACAGATAATATCAAAAGACAGCATCAAAAATGCTTTGCCCAAACTCAGAAAGCTAGTCACATTCCCACCGTAAATGTATGAGGGCCCCTCTCTTGCTGCAGCCCTGCCAGTGGTGGGATGAAGTCACAGAGGTGATGCGAGAGAGCTTGGCCAGGGTTTAGTTCCAGCAAAGCACAACCTTGAGCACTGCCTCCTGGCTGAAATGTTCTTTATCAGAGCCTTTACCCATGTTTTAGCTCAGGCTTCTCCATCTATTGTTATGCCTAGGTTGCCTTCCCATGCTTGACGCACCCAATCTGCATTCCACATCTCGCTGTCAATCAGCAGTTGATAAATGAAAGAAGCAGAACCCTTCAAGGGTAAAGCAGATGGGATACTGCAATGTTCTTGCTGGAGCTCAGATTAGTCCCTTCCGTGTATAAACCTTTAAGAAACATCCTAATCTGTGACAGCTGAAACCAGGAGTGTTTAGCACCCTGGAGCATGCTGCAAAAGATGTCGGCAGCTAGAATCCTCTGAGGGACAAGCTACCCATTTCCTACCAATGCTGGAATAGCTCAGTAGATGGAGCAGGAGACTCTTAATAAAGCTTAGTAAAGCTACAGGGAACCAGGCAGAGGGCCTTTTCGGTCGTGGCGCCTGCCCTGTGGAACACCCTCCCACCAGATGTCAAAGAGAACAACAACTACCAGACTTTTAGAAGACATCTGAAGGCAGCCCTGTTTAGGGAAGCTTTTAATGTTTGATGCATTACTGTATTTTAATATTTTGTTGGAAGCCACCCAGAGTGGCTGGGGAAGCCCAGCCAGATGGGCGGGGTATAAAAAATAAATTATTATTATTATTATTATTATTATTATTATTATTAATTGCAGGGTTGTAGGTTTGAGCCCCGCATTGGGTAAAAGTCCTGCATGACTAGATGACCCTTGTGCTCCCCTTCAATTCTACAATTCTAGGTTTCTATGTAACTAAGCTCTGACAGATGGGGGAGGGATTCTTCTTGGGCGCTGAGAGATGTTTGTTGGCTTACATCTTAGCATAATTCTATACATTAAGTCAGGTGTAGGGAACCTTTGGCCCTCCAGATGTTGCTGAAGCCTGACCACTTGTAGTCCATGCACTGGTAATCTTGACGCTAGATTACTGCAATGCACTGTATGTGGGGCTACCCTTGAATTTGGTTTGGAAGCTCCAGCTGGTACAGAATGCTGATGGGGCCAACAACATGTGACACCATTGTTAAAACAGCTGCCCTGGCTGCCCATCTACCGTCAAGCCAAGTTCAAGGTTATCATAGAATTGTAGAGTTGGAAGGGACCTCATTGGTCATCTAGTCCAATGCAGGAATCTCAGCTAAAGCATCCATGACAGATGGCCTTCCAACCTCTGCTTAAAAACCTCCAAGGAAGGAGGAAGACCATTCCACTGTTAAACAGCTCCTATGAGCAGAATCCCCCCCACCCGAGGTTTAGTTGGTATCTCCTTTCTTGTAACTTGAAGGCATTGGTTCAAGTCCGACCCTCCAGAGCAGGAGAAAACAAGCTCGTTCCCTCTTCCATGTGGCAAATACCTTGAGATATTTGAAGGTGGCTATCATATCTCCTCTCAGTCTCCTCTTTTCCAGGCTAATCAGGTTCTTGTTTTAATTTGCAGAGCCCTGAACACCTCTGGGCCAGGGCACCCCAGGAACCACCTGAACCTTTACAATCGCAGCTCAATCATCTGCAGGAGCATCTCTGATCGTTTCCCAAGTTGGTGAGACTCGTTTAACAACAACTAGAAACCAAGCCTTGAGAGTTATCAGTCCGGTGGAACACTGCCAGTAGAGATTCAGCAGGTACCTTCTGTGCCAGCTTTTAGCACCTGCTGAAAACCTTTTTTTCTATTCTGTCAGGCCTATGCAGGTAAGTAAGAATATATCCTTCCACAATGGTTAATTGGCGTCTGTTTTAATTTTTTAAAATATGGTTTTTATTTTATGTTTTATGTATTATTGCCGTAAACTGCTTTGATATTTTCTTCTTTTTATGATATAGTGGTATATAAATATTTTAGTAAATAAACTTCAGTTCCCATCATCCCTACCCATTGGTCATTCCTGCTGGGGCTGATGGGAGTTGTAGTTCAGGAACATCTGGCAGGCCAAAAGTTCCCCACACCTGCATTAAGTGATTATACTAAGCAAATAGGGAACCAGCATTAAATAAGGGACATACAAAATTACACGGTGCTGTGATAGTTTCGAAAAAAGGTTCAGTTGGTGCATTTCTGCTTGAAAATGGGAGACAGCTCATCCATTGCATTCAATATTCATATTGATTTTCAGTTATATCTTTACTGCATCTATCATTTCTTAGATTGTATTTTATTGTATTGCACGCTAGATTTTATGGAATTCCGATTGTCATGCAATAAAATACAACCTAGCACAGTGGCGCTACAAACATAGATAAACGCTTATTACGCCTTATCCGTGGTCTATACGAAAACACCAGGGTGAGGGTAAGATGCGATCGGTCAGGCCATCTAACTAAAGAAATTCAAACGCACTATGGGGTTAAACAAGGATGTGTCCTCGCGCCAACGCTATTTAATTTCTATATCAACTCTCTAGCAGTAAATATGGCGAAAGAAAATGCCCACCCTCCCAAACTGGCAGGTATTCCCATCCCGGTGCTTCTGTATGCGGACGACGCAGTCCTACTCTCCTTTTCCTGCATTGGCCTGAGGAAGCTTTTGAGATCACTTGCTGACTATTGTCAAGCGGAACAACTATCAATAAATTACAGCAAATCTAAAATTATGGTGTTTTCAAAAAAAAGAAGGAAACACAAATGGAGAATTAATGGTCAACCTATTGACCAGGTAGCAACTTTCAAATACCTGGGAATAACTTTTCAGGAAAGGGTCTCGTGGCATCAACAGTTGAAACACGCCATTGCTAACGCAGGAAGGGCTAATAAAGCCCTTACAAGATTTTTCACGGGAAAGGGGGTAAATACGTTCCGGCGGCCTCCCAGGTTTTTGCTGCAAAAATACTCCCACAACTTACTTATGGATCCCAGGTTTGCAGTTTTAAAAATTTTGCGCCTATGGAGGCATTTCAAACAAAATTCTATCGGTGTTTATTGGGATCCCCCCCTGTGTATCTAATATAGCTGTCCGCTTAGAAGTTGGACAACCACCCGTTAATGCGCGGCTGTGGATTCTAAAGATACACTACTGGTTAAAACTTATTTTTCCCGGCCGGTTTGGCTCCTTTAACACTCTTAGACACCTTTCATTCCACCTGGAAAGCTTCCTGTTTGAAAAGATAAGAAGCTTGGGATTCTCCCGCAGATCTTGATAGCGGCAGGATATGAGAGAGCCAGAAGTCAAGTGCTCCAACGCATTAGGGACATAGAGCTGCAATGTCATATGGGCAAAATGGATAAACATGCCATAATTAGAGACTTTGGGAGAGGGTTCTCACCCGCAAATTATTTGGCTGATTTACAAATACCTAAGTACAGACACTCCTTTACCCTGGCCAGATTTAACGTTCTGCCCTCTGCCCTGCTGCTAGGCAGATATGAGGGCAAACCATATGAGTCACGTGTTTGCCCGTGTGGCTCATCGGAAGTGGAAACAAGTCTGCATGTATTGCTGCACTGTAGTTACTATGAGGATCTACGCTTGACCTTTATTGCCCCAGTTCTACAAAAGCTTAAAATGAACCAGAACTCCAACGTATGAGAGCCTTGGTAGAAGATAAGGTTTCTGAAATTACGATCAATGTGGCCAAATTTTGTGTAGCCGCTATTAGGCGCAGGAAACAAGAGCTTTCAAATGTCATTATGCAGGCGAAGGCAAATACTTAATTTTTTATTTATGCTGTCTAATTTTAAATTGCAGTTATGTATTGAAATTGTCCTTTGTTTTTTCCGGTGTTATGCTTCGCTGACTAGCTGTACGAGTTAATCTGGTCTGTGACCGTTTAATAAATTTGATTTGATTTGAACCTAGCACAGTGCGCTGCAATAGCTACTGCATTGCCGTGGTCTGCAGCAATTTTCAACTAGCTTATGGGAAACATAGTCTGGGAATCACTGGTTTAGAATACAAGGACATTCATTTACTTGTGACTAGGGGTGGAAGAAGAATCTATCAATTTCAGATTTCTCAGTTTCTCGTTTTTCTAATCTTAAATTCCATTCTCTACGTTTTGCAGCAATTTTCCATTTTGTTCTCTTAAAAAATTCTCATGAAAATCCCTCAGCATCTTAGTTTAAATTTCTCTCAATTAACACACGTTTATATGTAGTTTGACTAATGTGCACATTTCTGTTTCAATGTACAATTAAACAATTGTACTGAACAAGTCCTGCAGATGTTATTTATTTATTACCTATTCATGTTTCCTCCAAGGAGGGTGGTGTACCTGAGTCTCTTTGTTTCAGTTTTATTCTCACAACAATCCTGTGAGGTAGGTTCAGCTGAGAAACTGTGACTTGACCACGGTCACCCAATGAGTTTTGTGACTGAGGAGGAATTTGAACCTTGCTCTTCCAGGCACTAACCCACCCCTCTAACCACTGCACCACACTATCTCTCTCTGGCTTTTAACTGCTTTTAGCCAATATTTGTGCATTGCAGAATTGACACACACCCAAAGGCATCTTGGACAACTTGGCCACAGCTGCCATTTAAACAACAGCAGTCAAAGATCCAGCGTCCTGCAGGCAGCAATGGGTATCTTTCCAGTAAAAGCTGATTACTGGCTCCGCTCCTTGATTTTGACATTTAGAAACAAAATGGTATGTGGTCTTGCGGCACGACTGCTTGGGAAAGCTTATGACTAAGCAGGATTGTGCTAATGATGTTTGGTACTGATGTGGAAGTGAATATATCATTAGCCCCATGTGAGAGCTGTCGCTGATGCTCTTAAGCATCACTGCTTGGCAATGGAAGGTGGTCCATGATGGCAGGGGTTTCCAGATCTTGGTCCACAGACCACCAGTGGTCCACAAGCTTCTTTCAGGTCGTCTGCAGGAAGGTGGCACAGGTGAGGTGCAGGCTTTCCCATCCAATCTCTCTTTCTTCCCACCTGATGCCCCCACCCCTCAGGCTGATCTGTGCAGGGTGGAGTCTTCTGCTTACGTACGTGGTGCAGGCTGCTGCTGCTTTGCAAGCACCCTGCAGGATCAAACCCTCCTGCTCTTGGTCAAGTGTCTCCTCCTTCCTCCTTCCCAATCCTAAATGTAATCAGGGTTTAATAACCCCAATTAAATATGACGACAAGCCCCCCTGATCTGGGCTGGATCTGGGGCAGGTGGTCCCCATGGCAGTATGGGGTGGGGCAGCGCAATCTGGTGGCCTCAGATTGGGGTCCTGGGGAAGAGCTAAAACATATAGAGGCAGTGGACAGGGAAAAGTTTCCCTTTCTCTCTCATGACAGAATTGCGGGTCCCACAGTGAATGGGGATCAGGACAGACGGAAGTACTTTCCCACACAGGGCACCGGTAAACTGTGGAACTCATTGCCACAAGATAGTGTTGGCCACCCATTTGGGGTTAGAGCCAGAGGTGAGGAACCTGTGGCTCTCTGCTCTTAGACACCAACTCTCATCTACTCCAAGTAGCACGGCTAATATATAGTTCAACAGCATCCAGAGGGTCAAAACATCTTGGCTTTTTCTTTAAAGCAGGCTCTTCCTGGTGCCAGTTGTTTTATGGAGTATTAATGGTACAACTGTAGAAAAGGTTTTACTGCATTCAATACTGTGATCTTTGGGGTTATATTTTATCTTATTGGATTCTACTTCAGTTGTTTTTGGTTGTGAAGGGATTTATAAACCCACAGACAAACAAACAATTTTAAATACCCTTTTGGCACAAGGCTAAAACTGTCCTGCGCTCTCATGCCTGTGATGGCAAATGCTAGGGAATGGCTTATTTATTTTCTAACTGCTGTGACTGCTGCTGCTTTGCATATTTGAGGTTTGCAGGCTGCATATCATCTCCATTCCTCCCATTTATTAAAATGTATCCCTGGCCACTCTCCAATCACATTGTCAGCATGGCTTGCAATAAAATATTTAAAGTGCAATAAAAGAACCAAGAGGTAAAAAATAAGCTGAGAAACAGAGAATCTACCAAAGTGGCTGGGGAAAACAGCATGTGAACTAGAATATAACAGATCAACAAAAGGTCAAAAGCCTATGAGAACAAGAAGGTGTTTAGCTGTATCCTGTCAAATCCCCCCTTTAAAGCAATTAAAGTGAGTGACCATCACTACATCAGAGTGGACACCCAGGTGATCCTATTGAGTCAGAGTGCTCCAGAGCTGAGGCCCTTTCCCTTGAAAAGGTCCTTTCTCTGGTGGACATCTATCATATCTCAGATGGTGCAGACAGCCAGAGAACATCACCTAGTGTTGATCTTAGAAGCTGAGCCCTTCAAGTATATTTTCCCCAAGCTATGAAGTTTTTCAAAGAGGGGTAGGGAACCTGTAGCTCATCAGCTGTTTTTGGGATATGGTACCCACTATGGTTTCCCCAGTAGTGATGTATGGAAGTGAGAGCTGGACCATAAAGAAGGCTGATCGCCAAAGAATTGATGCTTTTGAACTGTGGTGCTGGAGGAGACTCTTGAGAGTCCCATGGACTGCAAGAAGGTCAAACCTATTCATTCTTAAGGAAATCAGCCCTGAGGTCTCACTGGAAGGACAGATCCTGAAGCTGAGACTCCAATAATTTGGCCACCTCATGAGAAGAGAAGACTCCCTGGAAATGACCTTGATGTTGGGAAAGATGGAGGGCACAAGGTGAAGGGGAGGACAGAGGACAAGATGGTTGGACAGTGTTATCGAAGCTACCAGCATGAGTTTGACCAAACTGCGGGAGGCCATGGAAGATAGGAGTGCCTGGCGTTCTCTGGTCCATGGAGTCACAAAGAGTCAGACATGACTAAACGACTAAACAACAACAACCCACCGCCCCTGATTACTGGTTAGAGCCACAGGGGAACTGAAGGTGCTGAGCTGCTCTGCTAGCAAATACATATGGTTAGATAAGTGCAGGTGTTGCTCATCTTTGACCCTCCATAAGAACATCCAAAAAGCTTGCTGCATCAGGTCAATGGCCCATCGAGTCCACATCCTGTTCTCACAACAGCCAAGCAGAATCCTGTGGGAAACCCACAAGCGGAGCCGGTGCACAAGACCACTCCTGTGGTTTGCAGCAGTTGGTATTCAGAAGGATTACTGCCTCTATGTGAATGCACAGCATAGCCATCACAGATAGTAGCCATAGATAGCCCCTTCTTTCTTGAATGTGGCTGAACTACAACTCCCAGCATTCCTGGCCATTGGCCATTGCTGCTGGGGCAGATGGGAGTTGTAGTTCAGCAAACCGATCAAATGGATTCAGTTATGGCTATTGGGTAATCTAGCCCTTTTTCATTGTTGAATCTGCCTAACTGTACTGGTTGGGGCTGATGGACTCTCCAGCAACTGCATTGCAGGGGGTTGGACTAGATGACCCTCGGGGTCCCTTCCAACTCTACGATTCTATGAATTTCTGGAGGGCATTAGCTTCCCTACCCTGGCTTTAAATACCAAGACTAGCACTTTCAGTTGGACCTGGAAGCAGGTCAGGCTCCATTGGCAAAGCACCAACATAATATAGCCATAATGCCCAGTCCCAGTTAGCAATTTAGCAGCTGAATTCGGAACTAATTGCTGTTTCTGAGCAGCCTTCAGAGGCAGCCTCCCACACGGCACATTACATTGCATTGTTTACGACGAAGAGTAAGCCATCTGGAAAGCAATGTTTGCTCATCCACTTGTTTAATTAATACATCGCAATAAGTCTCCCGTTCCATCCAGAAGGAGACACCCCCCCTCACCCCCTGCAGGGTTAGTCAATGTGGTGCCCTCCAAATGGACCCCAACTCCCATCAGCCCCAGACAAGCCAAGGATCGTCAATGGGCTGGGCTAGAACCTTTCTCCCTGCTTAGGGGTGGAGGAGAGATTCAATTCAGTTTAAATCTACCTAATTCCTGCTTCCTGAAGCAATATGCAGACAAAAATGCAGCCACCTTCTAAGCATGCTTTTTTGGGAGAATCTAACTTCATAATAAGTGCTCAGTGGAGAGTGTGTTGCATTTTATCAGTACAGCGGTACCTCGGGTTACATTACCTTTGGGTAACGTAATTTTGGGTTGCGAACGTAGCAAACCTGGAAGTATACACCATTCGCCATGCGCAGAAGCGCTCTATCATGCTATGCACATGCGCAGAAGCAGCACCTCTGGATACAGACTTTTTGGGGTAAGTACAGACCCCGGGACAAATTTAATTCGTATCCGGAGGGCCCACTGTAATATATATTGCACCCTGTTAGGATTCCTGCTCCGTGTTTGCAGTCATGAGATTGTTGCCTATCACATGATGGTGTATGCTTTCATTCCACAGTGTGGGAAGTGACGGAGACAGGATGTTTTGTACTACTGTGTTCTGGAATGTGGGACTATTGTCCTTTGTTCTTTCTCTCTTTGCAGTCTGATGAGAAAGAGGAAGGAGCTAATTCAGAATGCTCCGAGTGTATTATTGTGTAAATAAAGTAGATTAGCCAAGATGCTGAGCTATTGAGTCTGTAACGTGAACCACCAATACTCTGCAGGTTCCTAAGTGTGCTGATGCTTTTTGGTATCAGTCGCTGTGATGTTCGGGCAGAAGAAACCTTTTGAAGCTCCCGAACAACCAACCAGGAGGGAGAGAACATGCCAGTCGGGCATGTGTCTCTACCAGGGTCCTACATGAGAGTAGGACGATCCTAACACACCCAAACCCAATCTTTGAGTACCAAGAGACATGGGGCTCCTGTGCTTACCCAGTATCAGGAGTGGGTATCAGGAGCAGGTCAGCAGTAGATCATACAGTGTCCGTGAAGTTAACTCTTTATTCAAGGAAACAAGGTCGACTCAGAAGGCCATGCCTAGTGAGCACAGCAACTCGTCCCGGTAGATCTCGCCCCGTGCGGCAGTTGTGGGGATTGAAGTTCCCCACCTTGCCACAGTTGCCTAAGTCTCCTCCTCCCCAGATTCCCCAAGGAATGTGAGATTCTGTTGTTGTGCCTATGTTTGCTCCTCCCTCTTCATACCTCTCCTGGTTCTGGGAGAACAGGGAGGAGGGGAGCTGGTTGCAGCAGGATAGGGACAGTGGCGTCGCAAGGGGGGTGGGGGCGGTGTGCCCCAGGTGCCATGTCTGGGGTGTGTGACAAGAAGTCACCCCGCAGGGTGCTCACTCTGCTGCCCCCGGGCGCTGTGTCACGAGCAGCCATCACACCGCCGCACCCACATGTGGAGAATCCTTCATTCACGGCTGCAGACACGAGCAGAGGATCCCACCACCGTCCGTATGGCGTTTGAGCAGTGCTGGAGGGAAACCGCTACATACAATGCATATGCGGTGTCACATGCATGCGTTGTATGTAGCAATGCTGCACATGCGCCCTACGGAGTGATGTCACTCATGCGTCATACGTAGTGACGCCATGCACGCATCATACGTAGCGGTGCAATGTGTGCACAGCTGGCAGTTTGCCCTGCCCCGGCTATCAGTTAGCCTTCATTTGCCCCTGGATAGGGAGACCCGCTGGCTTCTTCACCAGCCTGCCTCATCTCTGCCTCTTGGCCCCCCTCCTCTCCAGCCTCTGCTTCCGCCTCTGTTTCCAGACTGCTGTCTGCCACAGACTCTTCCTGCTCACTAAACCCTGTTATCTCTTCAGCTTCTGACAGCTCCCCGCCCCCCCCGTCTTCTCCCTCTGACCATTCATTGTCGCCCCATCGCCAATCCCCTGGCTCTGAGCCTTCTTCCCTTGGGGGTTCCCCAGCTGGTGCCTCCCACCATTCCTCTGCATCTAGCCAGTCCATGACACCCATGGTTTGGTTACTTTGGAATGAAGGCCAGTGGAGACTGCAGTGTCTTTAGGATATATGGCTTTTGTTGACACATTTATAGTAGGATGAAGGGGCCCAAAGCATTAACACTCCATCAGCTCAGTTGCCAGGGCAGCCCCAAATCCCAGTGCTGCGCAGGGCTAAACGTGCCTCTGCCCCAGCCTCTCTCAGCTTTTTCTCCAGCTTCCATCTCATTCACCAGCAACTCCACAGGCCCCTTTTTGTTATTCGTCACTTGGATGAAGCTAATTGCAACTCATCTCATCCCTTTGAAGTGAAGCAGAGCGTGTATTTATATTCGGTTGTATTGATCCTCGCCTAGTAGAGAAAAATCAACATTTCTCTCCTAACAATGACATATTTGCATTATAGTTGGGGAAATTGCCCTGCAAAAATGTGCGTATTACTCCAAATGGCATACAAATTATAGATAAGGTGCGAAGGTCCTGTCCCAAGTGGTGTCTCAACATACCTCAGAAGGCCAGCACACACAAAGAAAGTCTTAAAAGGAAGATATTAAATACCAGGATTTTTTTTCAGCTGGAACTTGACGGAACTCAGTTCCGGCACCTCCCAGGTGGGTGTCATTGCTATTATAAGAGAACAAGGATGGTGTTCATAGTGAGGTCTGGCACCTCTTTTTCTAAAAAAGCAGCACTGTGTGATACTAATCTCCTGGTTAACTCTATTACAGGGATAGAAACCTTGGGCCTTCCAGATTTTGTGGTTCAACACCAATTCCCACCATCCCTCCCCCTTGGCCACAATGGCTCGGGCTGATGGGAGTTGTAGTCCAACACAAGTTTCACGTCTGTACTCTTTTGATAACTACAGGTACATTTTCAGGAATTCACCATACATTAAAGAGCCAGTTAAGACTGTTGGACTATGTTTAAAAGTACCTTCCCCCAAAATCCAGAGTCCTTTTTGTTGGGGATAATTCAGATGGAAATTCCCAGGTGTCAAAAAAGGTTGTTTATGTATGCCACTACTGCGGCCCGTGTGTTTTTGGCCCCAAAATGGAAAATGAGCGAGGTCCCAACTAAAGAAGAATTGCAACTTAAGCTGATGGAATATGCACAGCTTGCAGACTTAACATACAGAAGAAGAGAACAAGAAGAACATACATACATTTAAAGAAGATTGGAAAAATGTTTACTGAATATATGGAGGGAAATTGTGTACACTTGAAAATGCTGGCAGCATTAAGATAAATTCAACAGTGTAAATAAGTTTTGATGGATGTGATAGTGGAATACTGAATGGTTTAGTTTATGTAAAATATGCAGAGATCTATGGTATGCAAGGGACTTGCCGATCAGAAGGTCAGCAGTTCGAATCCCCACGACGGAGTGAGCTCCTGTTGCTCGGTCCCTGCTCCTGCCAACCTAGCAGTTCAAAAGCACGTCAAAGTGCAGGTAGATGAATAGGTACCGCTCCGGTGGGAAGGTAAATGGTGTTTCCGCGCACTGCTCTGGTTCGCCAGAAGCGGCTTAGTCATGCTGGCCACATGACCTGGAAGCTGTACGCCGGCTCCCTCGGCCAGTAAAGTGAGATGAGCGCCGCAACCCCAGAATCAGTCACAACTGGACCTAATGGTCAGGGGTACCTTTACCTTTTTATGGTATGCAAAATGAACCATGGAAAGAGAAGAAGGAAAGTCACTGATAGTGTAAGGATGTTTAAATGAGTATTTAAAATTGTAAAACAGAAAATCAAATAAAAATTATATACAGTGGTACCTCGAGTTACAAATGCTTCAGGTTACAAACTCCGCTAACCTGGAAGAGTTACTTCGAGTTGGGAACTTTGCCCCAGGATGAGAACGGAAATCATGTGCCGGAGGCGCAGCGGCAGCAAGAGGCCCCATTAGCGAAAGCATGCCTCTAATTAAGAACAGTTTCAGGTTAAGAATGGACCTCCGGAACGAATAATAGTAATAATAGTAGTAGTAGTAGTAGTAATAATAATAATAATAATAATTTATTTGTACCCCACCCATCTGGTTGGGTTTCCCCAGCCACTCTGGGCGGCTTCCAACAAAGATTAAAAATACACAATTGAGTTTGTAACTGGAGGTACCACTGAATATAATAAAAGACTGTTGGACTATGAGCTGGGAGACCAGGGTTCCAATCCCCACTCAGCCACTAAGTTCACCTTGGGCCACTCACAGTCTCTCAGCGTAACCAACCTCTCTTCTACCCCAGATAAAATGGGGAGGGGAGAACCATGTACACTACCTTAAGTTCCTTGGGGGTGGGGAGGTTGTATATAAACTGTAATAAATAAATAAAATTTCCTTCCCCTCCACTTTAAATCTTTATTCTGTTCAATTAATTTCATTTTTTAAAACGTTAGTTAAAAAATATTTTTAAAACTTTTTTTTAAAAAAATCAGCAAGTATGACTGCTTATGTTTCACCCTTGTTTCAAACTTGAATAACTCAGGCAGTCTTGGTTTACAGCAGATTTATAGGTCTTTAATGGTCTGTTTTTCCTCTTATTCAAGGCAATGGTCAATTTCCATTTACACAGGATGCAGTCTCAGCTTCCTAGGGAGAAGATAATTAGATCTGATAGTGCTGAAAACCATCTTCAAATGGTTTTCCTGATCCTTGCTTGGTAGAAGGGGGGTGGGGGGGCGGGAAACACTCCAACATTTATTTCTCTTCTAAAGCAAAATAGCCACACTGACTGAGGATCTGGGTCAAGAACAATGCAACTTGCACACTTAATACTTTTTTTTTGGGGGGGGGGGGGTTGGGTTTGTTTATTTTTTGCTTCCTCTTGTCACTTACAATTCTTTTTTTTTAATATATATTTTATTAAGGATTTTCTTGTTTTACAGAAGTGTAGTGCCTCGTGTATTTTTTTTCATGTAACATTTTTACAAATCCGTTTCATTTGTTGAGGCATTAGGGGGAGAAGGAAAAAAAAGAAAGAAAAAAGAAAGGGGGGTGGAGAGAGGGAAGATGGATGGGGGTGGGGTCGGGTAGCGGTGTTTCTATTATGTTTAATGTATGTAGAGTTTGGTGTCAGCGTTGCTTGTGTTGTTCACTTGTGTTCCTTTGGTGGTGAGAGAGGTTGGGGTTGGGCTAGGTGTGATTGTTTGCTTGTGATTGGCTGTGGTGATCTTTGGAGAGGCCTGTCAGGAGTAAGCATGGACCAATGGTACCAAACAGTATGGGAAACAGCCCTACTAGAAAAATTAACTAATAAACTGAAACTGACACGGGGACAAACAGAAGAAGACGCCTTCACCCCGGTATGGCTCCCCTTTATCACATACACAGCCCAACAGGACAATGACAATAATCCACCAACAGCATACAAATCAATATGGCTAACACTTAATACTTTTTGGTTACTCTGCAAGCTCAGTCACTTGAGTCTCACGGCATCAAAGTGGATTTATTAAATTGGCTCAAAGTCAGGAGTTAGTTCTCCTTTTTTTGCTATTGGGTTTTCTTTTCCTTCATTTCTCCCTCTCTTTTTTTGCAAAGCTGGGCATTTAAGCCAAGCCCGCCGGGTTAAAGTTGCTGTGGGCACAAAACCTTTAAACCTCTGATGCATTAAATTAGTAGAGTTTGCAATTAACTGGATGTAATTAGATTGGGGGTGGGTGGGGGAAATTCTTAGGAGAACAAAAAGACGAAACAAAACTGATGTAGCCACCACAGCTGAATTTCAAGACTTACAGTATATACACCCCAACCTGCATAAAGCTTACACCAGGGGTCAGCAAACGTTTTCAGCAGGGGGCCGGTCCACTATTCCTCAGACCTTGTGGGGGGCCGGACTATATTTTTTTTGGGGGGAATGAACGAATTCCTATGCCCCACAAATAATCCAGAGATGCATTTTAAATAAAAGGCCACATTCTACTCATGTAAAAACATGCTGATTCCCGGACCGTCTGCAGGCCGGATTGAGAAGGCGATTGGGCTGCATCCGGCCCACAGACCTTAGGTTGCCTACCCCTGGCTTACACCCTCTTGCTTTGAGGCATGGGAAACTTGGGTAGCAGGTCCAAAAAGGAATTTCCTCTTTCTGGATGGAAGAAGGAAGGGAATGCCTGGCTTGCATTATTATCATGCTCATTCTTTTCTCATGCAACACAATGCCTTTGTTGCTTGTTGGGAGCTGCTGGATCTATGTGACTCTCTCCCATCTGGTGAACCACTGAACTGTAGGTAGCAGTGTTTGGATGCAGCCCCTCCAGGTCCTGGACCAAATGCCCACCCAGAACTGGCCATTGGACTATGTGAAGAACCAGGGCTGGCCCTGCCATGAGACAGAGTGTGGCTGCTGCCTCAGGCGGTAGATTCTGAGGGACGAGGAGTGCTTTTCATCTGGTAAGCAGAGTCTTTTGTCCTGCAGGATGAAGGTTGCTGCTACTTTACAGAGAAGCCTTTCACAAAGGAGCAGCACACCACCGGATAATAATAATAATAATAATAATAATAATAATAATAATTTATGCCCCACCCATCTGGCTGCTCTCAGGGGGCAGAGAAAGGAGATAATCTGTTTTATTAGGGATTAAAAACCCTAATTAAACATTATCCCCCATCCCTTGTATTGTTCTGGGGCCAGATCTGGGACAGAGGAGTTGGTCCCTGGGTTGGCCTAATCTGCCCCCCACTCACCTGGACTGGGGCCCTGACACAAGGGGTCTGTACATCAGGGCTTGTCTTACCTGTGCTTTGAACTGGGGCTGAGGCAAACCAGCTTGCATGCCAACATTCCTCAACCCTGAGCCTTCCAGTTGTTTTGGACTCAAAACTCAGCATGGCTCAACATTCAGGAATGGATGATGAGAGGTTGCAGTCCAATGGTGGGGGGCAGCAGATTGGGAGAGGCTATTTTTGATTCTAAAACACGGATACTGCATCTCCCAAGGGGACTGAATTTATGGTCTCTGCTCCTCTTGAGCTTTGATTGCATGTCTCCACGTTGGTCCGGTTCCCATTTGCTTGGAGATTAGGCGAAACGGTAGCAGCATTTAATAGAGTCTTGTTTCTGTGTTCTATTCCAGCACTCCTGATTCCCACTAATGAGCATTAATAAGCATGCAAAGGCCCTTTGCGTTTGCGGAATGACTAATACGTCTTCTTTGAAGAGCTCATTAGAGTCCAGATGAACATTTGGGCTGAGGTCAGACACAATGCCTGATGGTGGTGTTCAGCTGAACAAATTGGAACACTTTGTAGGAGGGGAGTCTGTCTTTGTCTCCAGTGAGCTGTGTCCTTTCACTGAAGATTCACTGAGGGTTCACTGAAGGTTTATGGGGGAGATGCACACTGGAGCCAGTTTGCAATTGCAGCACACACATCATCTGGAGAACCAGATTTCTGGGCTAATGCCCCATCTCACAACCCAAAACCCCATATTGTGCAATGGAAATGCAAATCAGGTGTATTTGCATTCAGAATTTGCATCATTCATTTGTCACAACTGGTTGAGGAATTTTATTTTATTTTATATTAAAAAAAAATCCAGATGAGTCATCTGTGGGATAAACAGCTTCAGATTATCAACATGCAAAAGTTTAATTAGTGTTTGAAGGGGTTAATACCATAGAGTAAAATGTCCTGCCAGGCTTAGCTATGTCTATGGGAGTAGATTTGTCCTCCCTACTTTACCTTCCTTGGTCAGGGCGGATCTTGCTTTCATAAAACACAGCTGCAGAGGCACATTGTTGGATCAGTGCCATGGATTTTGATAGGGGCCTTCCCGTTATTTACATACTTCTGTACATTAGCAGGGGGAACCTTGGCTATCCTGGCTCAGGCTGATGAGACTCTAGCGACATCTGGAGGGCTGGAAGGTGTTGTTGTTGTTTAGTCGTTTAGTCGTGTCCGACTCTTCGTGACCCCATGGACCAGAGCACGCCAGGCTGGAAGGTAGTTCCCCTTTTTACAGAGGAAAGCAGCTTCACAGTGAGGTTGCTGCTCTGATATTATTCTTTGCAGGGTACACTGACAAATATTCCAAAATTCCAAGGACTCTTCTGCTTCTTGGCCTTCAAGTTCTGAATCAATGATGTGGGATATAAATATACATTTGTACTTTGGATGTCAAGTGTTTAACTCTCCTCCCTCCCCCAGAGTGCTTTATGCTTTTGACATCTTTGCAAACTTGTTGGCAGGCTTCAAAAAGAAATCTCATAAGCTGTCAGCCATCAAATACTAATTTGTTTTTGCATTTTTATTTGTCAAATTCTGCCAGATCCTCCCCCCACCCCCCAGTAACGGCTCTTGCAGTGTGCATTCCTAGAAGGAAGCTGAGCGTCTGTTGCAGAGTGCTGTTTAGGGACCATATCACACACCTGTTTTTTTGCATGTCACACACCAGTGTTTCAAAAAAGGTCCAACCTCCTCTCCAGCCTCTGCTTCAGCATCAGAGTTTGGACTGCTCTCTGTCACAGACTCTCCCTGCTCACGAAACCCTGTTACCTCCTCTGCTTCTGACACCTCCTCCTCCCAGTCTGCTCCTCCATCTCCCTCTGACCACTCATCTTCATCCCACCACCAGTCCCCTGGCTCTGAGCCTTTTCCCCCTGGGGGTTCCCCAGCTGGTGCCCCCTCTCTTCTGCATCCAGCCAGTCCATGACAACTGGGAATTCCCTCCACACCATGAAAAATTCTATACACCCCTATTATGCCCCGCCTTATTCACCTTTCCCAGTTTCATAAAGAAGCCTCAATTATTGCCAATGTTGGGGACATAGGTATCTGCCTTGCCCCAAGTCTAGAGTGCAAATTTGTGATAATAACATACCAAATGCAGCACATTAGGGGAAACTGCTTTGCAAAAATGTGGATATCAGGCAAAATTGCATTAAAAAATGTGTATGTTTGGAGAAATCCACACTAAAATGCTGATGGATTTTATTTATGTTCATTATTCTTATTCTTATTCTTATTCTTATTCTTATTCTTGCTTTATAATTACATCATCACCATGATCACAAACTGGTGTGGAAATGTGGCGAATTGAACTTAAGAATACAAGGAAAACAAAAGCTAACACATTCACCCATTCTTGCTCCAGCCCCTTGATAAATTTGGTTGCCTTTTACTCGGTTGCTCTCTTCCTTCCTGCCTCCTGCTTTTTCCTTGAGGGAGTCTTATAACACACCTGAATTATAGCAGCTTTAGAACCCAGAATAGGAATTGCCTGTTCATTATTAATCTTTTGGCTTGCTCTGCATGAGAGGGTTTGCATGTAGGGTTTGTATCATCCTCATCTATGCTAAGGTGTACTCAGCTGCTCGAATCAATTGCCAGAAGCAGGGACCACCAATCACTATTATTTTTGTTTTCAGTGATAGTGATGGTTCCTCTGTGTGTGTGTAAGGGGGGAGGGAGAGAAAGAGAGAGTATTGTAGTGACAAAATGCAGCATCCTAACCAGCCATTTGTAACCTTTACAATGCAATATTCACTACAGTCAGACTTAATTAAAAAAACCTGTGGAACGCTTCCTTGTGGGTCCTTCCTTGTTCGTACTAACAGCTGTTTAGGAGGCTCCCTATCAGCCTGGGAGCAAAATGAGGCAACTGCAAAATAAGATAGTATTACTGAAATTTCAGGAAGCTCCCCTAGATATACAGAAGGATATAAGTTTGTAAATTTGAAGACATTAAAACAAAACAAAACACAAGCACATCACCCTGACAAAGACCTGTGAGCTTCCAGGATGTACAGAATGTTAAGGGGTCAGTTGGAGGGGAGAGGAAATAGGACAGTTGGGGTGGGGGGTGGGGACATACAATGATGCTAAATGTGGGAAGGTTCAGAAACAGTATAAGAAAATCAGCACATTGTTAAACAACAGAACTCACCCGCAGTGATGGCCACCAACTTGGATGGCTTTAAAAGAGGAGTGACAAATTCACAGAGGAGGAGGCAATCAATGGCTACTAGCCATATGGGGTAAGCTCTGCCTCCACAGTCAGAGGCAGTAATGCTTCTGAACACCATTTGCTGGAAACTGCAGGAGGAGAGATGGTTCTGGTGCCTGAGTTCTGTTTGGGGGTTTCCCACAGGCTGGCCACTGTAAGAACAAGATGCTGGACTCAGTGGGCCATTGTCCTGATTCAGCAGGTTCTGTTAGAATTCCTGTTCCATGATTGCAGTCATGGGATTGTTGTCTATCACATGACGATATATGTTTTGACTCCACAGAGTGGGAAGTGACGCAAACAGGATGTTTGTGTTACTGTGTTCCGTGAAGTGGGACTATTGTCCTTTGTTCTTTTTCTCTTTGCTGTCTGATGCTAGAGAGAGAGGGAGCCATGTTGCAGTGCTCCGTGTGTGTTTATATGTAAATAAAGTAGATTAGCCAATATGCTGAGTTGCTGAGGTCTGTCACGCAAGTTGCGCAAAATCTGCGGATCCCTAAGTGTGCTGGTGTCGGTTGGCATTGGTCTCTGTGATGTTCGGGCTGAAGAAAGCTTATGAAGCTCCTGAATGATCAACCAGGAGGGAGAGAACATGCCAGTCGGGCATGTGTCTCTGCCAGGGTCCTTCTCAAGTGTAGGCTGAACTCCTGACAGGTTCTTCTTATGTTCTTAATAGGGAATTGGCCTGCTCAAGTGCCGAGTAATTTAGAGCAGTGATGGGGAATCTGTAACCCTCCAGAGGTTGCCGGACTACAACACCCACATCCATGAGCATTGGCCATGCTGGCTAGCCTGATAGGAGTTGTAGTCCAACAACCTCTGAAGGGCCACAGGCTCCCCATCCCTGACACAAGCCTTTGGTTTGATTCCACAGAGTTTGATTCTTTTAAGTCCTCTCTGTATTTTGGAAAGTTGTGTTCTTGGCTGGACAGTTCTTGAGATTGAGGAGCAGAGTGTTTTTTGTTTGGGGAGGGCTATGTTTGAATACCATTGGACACCATTTTAAATCAAGATGGCGGATGAAAGCTTTCCAAACTGCACTGGTGTCAACAGCTCCTAAGAGAGTGTAACCCAATTTATCATGATGGCTCTTGAGATCAAGGAGCAGGTTTTGATTGCTGTTTGGGCATGATGGGATACCATCTTGAATCAAGATGGAGGATGGCACTGGTCCCCTCCCCCCAACTTCTTGGAATTCTCAAGTGATGCTGGGTACATAGCTGTCAACTTTTCCCTTTTCTTGCAAGGAATACTATTCGGAATAAGGGAATTTCCCTTAAAAAAACGGGAAACGTTGACAGCTGAGGCTGGGTGTGAGGCTGCTGGTATATAGTCAAAAGGGCATCTGGGGCCACAAGGCATTTTGTCTGTAGATGTGACTGTAGTGAAAAGCTCCAATACCTCCTCCCCACACATTTGGGACTGGTAGGGCAGAAGGCAGGAAGCCTAACAGCAGGTGGCACTAGAGGCAATGACAGGCAGGGTCAAATAATTCTAGTTTCCCCCCCATCCCTCTCCCCTGAGGGAGATAATGAGGCAACAATGAGCCTAAGGAGGAAGAAACTGCGAGGCAAACTCCCCCCCAAGGCAGGTGGGGGCTCACTGAGAACAGACTGAAGTTGGTGAGGGAGTGCCCCATTTTGCCCTAATGGATCAGTCACCAATGCTTTCCTGCCCAACCCCATAAAAGGAAAAAGGCTATTGAATTGATATTTATGCAGACCCAGAGAACATCAAGAGCTGATGGCAAAGATTGAACGACGAAGATGATCTGTATCACTGAAACATCAAGGGATGAACTTGCTCTGTTCTATGGGTACTTTTTTAAAATGAAGCAGAACATAGAGGTAAACGCAGCGCACAAAGTTCTTAAAAATGATGATTGTGAACTGATAGCAGTGCAGAGATGATGCAGAAGAAAGTGGGGGGGGGGTGGAGAGAGGGGGAGAAGACAAAGCTGTTTATGGAAACTCATTCACCCAGGCAATGGATTGGAGAGACCACGTCTCTCCCTTTAAAATAATAGCAATCTATCCTCCGGCAAAGATTTTGCAAATAGAAGATCTTGATAAAACATGAAAGTGGCTAATAGTTCCAGATGTGACTGGAAATTTAAATTATTCTTTGGAGGGGCGGGGATGAGTCACTGTGGAGCTGTTTGAAAGGATAAATCGGCAAGGGTTGCTTATCCTGAAGCAAGCGAGTTGCCATTAAATATCAGGGACCTGTTTGATCGCTGAGCAAAGCATCTAATTGCAGACATGCTACAACTGAAGGCTACCTCTTAATTTCCTTTTAAATTTTCAGGATTGCTGTTGCAGGTGCCTGTTGGAGAAATATTGCAAATGATTGTATTCTCAGTTTGGTTCTCACTTCCTTTTGCATTGCGCTTTCAGTTAAATATAGCAGCCCTTTCCCATATCTGAAGCTACATTTCTTCATACAGACAAGAAGGGCGCTGACTTTGGACCTAGTCATACTTTTGTTCCAATAATAGCCCCATGTCTGCCTTGATTTGGGAAGTGCTGCTACTAAACTATCCTTAGGTAACATAGGAATCTGCATCATACCAAGTTGGGCCATTGGTTCAGTTAGCTCATGTAGTGGATTTAGGGGTTGCTCATGCGTAAGTTGCCGCCACTCCTGGCTAGGTTACCTGGTTAAACCCTTTCTGACTGAACAGCCTCTAGCATCGTGACTGTCTCAGTCGCTGGCAGAATCCGTCAGTGGGCGTTTCTTAAACTTCTTCCTGCACAAAAGTTCTTTGACGCCTAGTCTCCACCTAGACTCCCTGCGCGGAAGTCTTCTGCGCAGGGAGGGTGTGGGCAGCGGAGGACCCGTACTCTCTCCGCTGGTCTCCGGCGAGGAGTCTTGGAGCCTCCTCTCCGATTCCCCCATTTGCCCCCCTTCTTTACTGGTGTTACGCTGATTTCCTTCCCCAGCGGACGGGCTGCCTCTCTCTCTACTGGGACCCTCTCCAGCATCGCTCTGGAGCCTTCCCTCCGCCTCTAGCTCCGATGGCAGTTCCCTGACAGCTCAGTACATGTATTAGGTACACTGACTGGCTGTGGCTCTCTAAGGCTTCAGACAGAGGACATTCCCAGTCCTACCTGGAGATGTTCTGCCACTGAGCTGTGGCCCTGCACCACATAATTGCTCATGTAAATGTTTTTCCCCATGTAGAGTATGGGATGAACTTAGGGAAACGTCATCAGGTTGGGAAAAGCTGATTAGAGTAGGACTGAGAAGTTTTAGGACAGAGAAAAGAAAGTATTTCCTAAGAGAAACTTTTGTCCAAACTGTATAATTTGTTATTAAAGTGGGAAACAAAAGACGAGCTTATTAAAGCCTCAATGACACACTGGGCAATAGATATAGGTCACAATATAAATTTTAACCTCTGGAAAAAATGATTTGAAGTTCACAGCATGTTATCCTTTGAAGGAGAACTACTTGAAAATTATTTACAGATGGTATTTAACTCAAAGTAGGCTTGCTAAGGGGACACGGGTGGCACTGTGGGTTAAACCACAGAGCCTAGGATTTGCCGATCAGAAGGTTGGCGGTTCGAATCCCAGTGATGGGGTGAGCTCCCGTTGCTCGGTCCCAGCTCCTGCCAACCTAGCAGTTTGAAAGCACGTCAAAGTGCAAGTAGATAAATAGGTACCGCTCTGGCGGGAAGGTAAACGGCGTTTCCGTGCGCTGCTCTGATTCGCCAGAAGCGGCTTAGTCATGCTGGCCACATGACCCAGAAGCTGTGCGCCGGCTCCCTCGGCCAATAAAGCGAGATGAGCGCCGCAACCCTAGAGTCAGTCATGATTGGACCTAATGATCAGGGGTTCCTTTACATTTACCTTTACCTTTAGGCTTGCTAAGATGTATAAGACTGAATCAGATAAGTGCTGGAGGTGCAAAGAGGTTGAGGGAATGTTCTTTCATATGTGGTGGACTTGTAAAAGGGTAAAAGAGTATTGGGAAATGATCCATAATGAATTGGGAAATAATATTCAAAAGCACTTTCCCCCAAAATCCAGAGTTTTTTCTGTTGGGGATACCAGTAATTCAGACTGAAATTCCCAGGTGTCAAAAAAGGTTATTTATGTATGCCACTACTGCAGCCTCTGTTTTTTTGGCCCCAAAATGGAAAACGAGCGAGGTCCCAACTAAAGAAGAATGGCAACTTAAGCTGACAGAATATGCGCAGCTTGCAGCCTTAACATATAGAATAAGAGAACAGGAAGGGCATACGTTTAGAGATTATTGGAAAACATTTATTGAATACATGGGAAATAACTGTGTACAGCTGAAAACGCTGGCAGCATCAAGATAAATTCAACAATGTAAATAAGTTTTGATGGATGTAATAATGGAATGCTGAATGGTATAGTTTTTGTAAAATACGCAGGGATTTACGATATGCAAAATGAACAATGGAAAGAGAAGAAGGGAAGCCATTGATACCTTAAGGATGTAAAAATGAGTGCTTTAAATTGTAAAACAGAAAATTTAATAAAAATTACATATAAAGAAAAGAAAAGAAAGCATTTCTTCACGCAGCACACAGTTAAAACTATGGAATTCATTCACACCAGAGGTAGTGATGACCTGTGATGTTTTGAAAGAGGACTAGAAAAATTCATGGAGGGTAAGGCTATTACTAATGACAACTGGAAACTAGGACTATGGGAACTGCAAATGGGGCTTGCTGGCTTCCCTGGGCATCTGGTTGGCTACTATGAGATCAGGGTGCTGGGCTACAGTAGATGGGTCTTTGGCCTTATTCAGCAGGGCTGATCTTGTGTTGGGATGACAAGTCCCATGAGGCTCAGCCAGAATGGGCAGTGGTCGAGGATGATGGGAGTTGTAGTCCCGCACCATCAAAGGCCACACGCTCACCACTAGAGTAATTTGTGTCCTGGCACAGATAGCTATGGGGTGAAAGCTGCTACGCAAGGGGCAGGAGCACAGCATGGATCTGAGAAACTGCTCAGCACCTACATCTCTAAGGATCCCTCCTTGGAGGATATATATGCATAAATTCGTAGTGAGCAGCTGAGGTTTTCCGCCCACCAGCAGTTTCAGCGGAGCAGAGGTGATGCGTGCAGCGCTGACTTGCATTGATTATTGGAGGGAAGAAGGAAGGGAGCAGATTGTGTGTTCTGAGTGTTGCGAGACCTGCTTCGGAGAGCTGCCGAGACATGCCTCATTTGCTGAGATTGTACAAAAACACCAGAATGCAATCACAGCTAAGATCTCCCCCGGCACAGGTACTGATCGCAGGAGGGATATTAAACGGAGAGCATGATTGCAAGTCACCTCACACAGGCAACCTGTTTCGACTGTCAGCAATGCTGTTGAGCATCCTTGGACCAAGTTTGAGGTGGCTTGTTTGAGTTCCCTCTCTGCTGCTGCAGTTGAAGCCCAGGCCTCCCTCACCACACCAGAAACAGAGAAAGACCAGTGGGGAACCTGGAATAGAAAGGTCGCATCACCTCCTCACCTCCTCTCAGGGGTGTTCCTCATCAATGTACCTGCTGGCCATGGCTTCCTCCAGGATATTAATTACACAAATTCACTCCTTTTCGTTTTGGTGCTTTTTAAAATTAACATCAAAACAAAAACGCAAATAAAGTTACAAAACATAGGAGTGGTTCAGAGGTTGAATCGTGCAGATAAATAGAGAGCAAATCACATAGAAAAAGCAAAGCAGAAAAATACATCATGAAAGCCAAATTTTGCAATGTGTTGAAGAGAGCTTTGTACAGTATATCTGAATTTGACACATAAGAAATGAAATCCAACCAAAAGGCACAGGAGTGTTCCGTGTCTTCCTTACATTGAGAAATGCAAAGTTTGCAAGTCCCCCCCCCCCCAAAATAGCCAGAGTCCACATATTCCTTGTCTGCAACGAGAAGTTTAAGTCCTGTAGCGTCTTGCATTTGGGGGCCAATGCAGCCAGCACAAGAAGTTCCTTAAAGTGGAAAGTTGCTATTTGCTCACCCCACAAGTTCAAAGGGTCTCAAGTTTTCATTTACAGCAGACGCTCAACATTCCACTGGTGACCCCTAAGCATGCCCAGTCCTTCTTCATCCTTGGATTTATTTATTTTTAAGTGTTTGTATTTCTGCAAAAGGGACGCGAGTGGCGCTGTGGGTTAAACCACAGAGCCTAGGACTTGCCGATCAGAAGGTCGGCAGTTTGAATCCCCGCGACGGGGTGAGCTCCCGTTGCTCGGTCCCTGCTCCTGCCAACCTAGCAGTTCGAAAGCATGTCAAAGTGCAAGTAGATAAATAGGTATCGCTCCAGCGGGAAGGTACTGTATTTTTCACCCCATAAGACACACCGCCCTATAGGACGCACCTAGTTTTTTTTTGGGGGGGGGGGGAAATAAAGAAAAAAAATTTCCCCCCCAGGCACGGGGCTGGCGCGGGGGAAGCCCGAGCTTCCCCTGACCCCAGCCCCCAGAACAGCCTGCTATCCGCAAGCCTAGGGAGCCGCTCCGGTCTCCCCAGGCTTGCGGAGAGCTGCGCGAAGCCCGGGCGTGCTTAAGACCGCGCCCGAGGCTTCAGAATGCAGGCAGCTCTGCGCAACCTTTGGGAGCCCGGCGCGGCTTCCCGCCGGGCTCCCGAGGGTTGTGCAGAGCTTCCTGTGAAAGCCTGTATTCACCCCATAGGACACACACACATTTCCCCTTCATTTTTGGAGGGGAAAAAGTGCGTCCTATAGGGCGAAAAATACGGTAAATGGCATTTCCGTGTGCTGCTCTGGTTCGCCAGAAGCGGCTTAGTCATGCTGGCCACATGACCTGGAAGCTGTACGCTGGCTCCCTCAGCCAATAAAGCGAGATGAGCGCTGCAACCCCAGAGTCGGCCATGGCTGGACCTAATGGTCAAAGGTCCCTTTACCTTCACCTTTATTTCTGCAAAGCTGAGTCCCCTCCCCCCAGCATGCTGATACCCTCTGCTGTGATACCATATCTTTTGACGCAGAGGTACTGTGGCATCTTCCCTGACAGTACAGCCCCTTGACTATCGAAGAAAATCACAGAAATGCAAGAAGAGAGTTGCTGGAGGAGGAGGAGGAGGATTTTCCTTATTAAATCAAGTGCTGTTCACAACTGTTGTAATAAATGTTAGCTACTGCCAAGTGCTAGGTCGGTCAAAGGCCAATGTAGACAGTATAAGGAAATTATCCTTATACTGCACCCAGCATTCCTGTACAGAAGCTGACGAGACTGGCAGCTGAATCTTATTTCAATACAGGTAATGGCATAACGTTCTCCTCAGCACCTGATGGTGGCAGGCTAGTTATGAGGGGTGCGGGTGGCACTGTGGTCTAAACAACTGAACCTCTTGGGTTTGCTGATCAGAAGGTTGGCGGTTCGAATCCCAGTGACAAGGTGAGCTCCCGTTGCTCTGTCCCAGCTCCTGCCAACCTAGCACTTTGAAAGCATGCCAGTGCAAGTAGATAAATAGGTACCACTGCGACAGGAAGGTAAACGGCGTTTCTGTGCACTCTGGTTTCCGTCACGGTGTTCCGTTGTGCCAGAAGCGGTTTAGTCATGCTGACCACATGACCTGGAAAGCGGTCTGTGGACAAACGCCAGCTCCCTTGACCTGAAAGCGAGATGAGCGCTGCAACCCCATATTCATCTTTGACTGGACTTAACCCTCCAGGGGTCCTTTACCTTTTTTTATGAGGGTGTGGGACAGGTAACATAAAACTAGGGATCCCATCTCATATTGTGTTGTGCCACTCTGAAGATCCTGAGATCCAATGTGGTGTAGTGGTTAGAGAGTTGGACTAGGACCAGAGAGACCAGGGTTCAAATCTCCACTCAGACTTGAAGCTCCCTGGGTGATTTTGCGAAGTCACTGGCACTCTACCTGATGGTTGTTGCGAGGATAAAACATGGGGAAAGAGAACCAGGAATGCCACCTTGAAGGAAAGGGATATAAATTGTTGCTGGCATCAGTCTGTCTCAAGAGAAAATGGAAGAACGTGCCATTGCAGGTGAAGTCAAACTGTTGGAATGGCTGTAGAGAATGATACAGGAGAGACATGTTTTAAGGCAGCCGGGGCAGATGAAGGCATCTGGTGATACTGATGCAGGTGTACGATGATGTTTCTTCTCTCGGTGCTCCTCCTGATGGTCATTCCTCCTCTGGTCACTGCTGTAGTCTGTCTCCCTCCAGATATAAATTAATAATAAACAGGGCAAACACAGAGGAGCATGTGCTGCTTTGGGCAATGTAAACCCCTTCTTTTAAATTGCAAATAAGCTGCCTAATACATTTAAGGGAAGAGGTAGTCCCTTCTCCTCTTATAAGGGCTGAGTCCTCTCAGCCCCCTAGGGCTGCATGGAGCCCAGGACCTTGGTTTGCTTGTCCAACCCCAGTGGTACTCATTTGTATGCCTCCTAGACATCAGGCAAGTGCTGAATAGTTTTAGGCACCCATTGAAGACTTATTTCTTTCTTCAGGCATTTGCTACCATTATTCCCTTGCTTTGAATATTGGTATTATCCACTGTGGACATTGAGCATTTTCTGGTTTGATTGTACTGATTCTTAGGGACATTACTTTACATTGCCTTGGGATTTCTAATGCACAATGGGATACAAATGTTCAAACATTGTTCTTTGGTTTGGGAACCTGGGAAAAATAGAAAAGCTGGTTGCAAAGTCCTTTGATAAATGTTCCCATCTCCACCCACACTTGACTCAGAAATAAATGTCATGGCTCTCTCCCTTGGAGTAGCTGGCAAAAGCCAAAACTCTGAGGGCATTGACTGTGTGTTTTCTTTTCCACTGTGGGCTTCCCATGGGCATCCCATTGACTGATGTGAGAATAGGACACTGGACTTTGGTCAAATCCAGCAGGACTCTCCTTATGTTCTTAATAAGGCTGTGCTAACTTCCTTTCTCAAGGATGAATAATTGTTCTCTCTGCTGTGTGTCATGTTTTCCATCAAGAGTTTGGGACACACTTCACATTTTTTCCCATTCTGCAGGTGTCAGCGGTTCAGGTTTCTCCTGGTCAGAGAGCAGAATTCATTTCCAAAGAGTCACAGTTGATGGTTTCTGCTGCTCTCAGAGGTCTTATCACTGATCCAAAAAAGTCTAGATTCATTTATGAAGCACATCCATTATCCTTTTAAGAGAACATGAATCTTTTCTTTCCTGGTCCAGAAGCCACTGTGACTCAAATTCTATTTACTCATATTCACCGGTTACCTGAATGTTATCAAAGGATGAATATGCCAGTTTTGTTTTTTCCCTCATTTCTCACAGAATCGGAGAATTGGAAGATACTGAAGGGGTCATCTAGTCCAACCCCCTGCAATGCAGGAATCATGGAAGAAGAAGAAGAAGAAGAAGAAGAAGAAGATTTTGGACTTGATATCCCACCTTTCACTCCCCTTAAGGAGTCTCAAAGTGGCTAACAATCGCCTTTCCCTTCCTCCCCCACAACAAACACTTTCATAACACCTCTGCTGTCTTGCCTATGAGAGTAGCCTGCTTTACTCTCTCTTGTGAATAAGGCAGAATCTTTGCCTCTGAGTTGCTCATATAGAAGAGAACATTAAACTCTTGGACTCAAGTATTAATGAGTACCTAATAAGGTGTGCAGTGACCCCAGGATTTACCTTGTGCCTATATCTTTGCTTATTTTTTTTAAAAAAAATGAATCTGTTTTTGAGTCACCCTGTGCTTTGATCGGTGATTAGTGATCTGCATAAAATGGAACCTTAAAAAGAATGGTTGTAACTATTTTTAAGCTTTTGGCAGAAGCAGATAAAATTTGCAGGCACAGCAGCAGTGATGTCAACTTGCTTAATCAATCATAAGGCACGGCACACAGCATTTGAATGGCAATGCCCATCACTTTTTGGGGAGGCAACCCCCTCAAATATTTTATTGGGAGGGGCAAAGGGACCTTGGCCCCTCAGAGTTGGCTCCTATGCACCAGAGTGGATTAATTGGAGATCCAGGGGTTTTTTGGGGGGTGGGGAGTGAAATGGATTCACATTCCTCCATAATCTGCATTAGGGCAATACATTTATTAGGCTAACTAAAATGCCAAAATCCATAATAGTTGCATATTTTCAAGTGGGAGTTGTTGTTTTCTTGGTCTTTCTGACTTCAAAATAATTAACAAGTGGCCTTGGAAAGTGGCCTTGATGGATGGATGGATGGATACCTACTTGCCATGACTGTCTTTTTGTTGTTGTTATTGTACTGTTAGGGAATGCAGGTGGTGGTGGGGACAAACAAAAAGCTTACATATTAAAGGAAACGTTTCCTAAAAAGCTTGTATTAGAAAAAATCATGTTCAAATGTATTATTAAATAATTGCTTCTTTTATTATTTAGATTGATTAACAATGCATTATAATAGATGCAATTCCTTGCAACATTGTGTGTGTTAGGCAAAAATGCCTTAAAATGTGTACGAAATTTCACATGGATTTTTTAAAACCACAGTTGATGTGGCAAACTGAACTTATTAGTGGGAAAGAACAAGACCCTGAGAGAAATCAGTCGAGGCATCTCTATTTGAAAAGCAGGACATCTGGAAACAAAACAATACCACAATATCCAGGAGGTCACACTGGCAGAAAGAATCAATTTGCTTTCTGGAGTTAAAACCTGGTCCCTCAACAGTTCAGCCCAATCCAGTATGCGCAACCCGTATCCTCTCTGCCTCCTTGAGTAATAGCTGCTGTTGAGTGCAAAATGACCCAGAGCAGCCAATTATGCCAAGTTTCTGCCGGGTAAGCAATTATCCAGGAAACAAACACTAATTAATTAAACACTCTCCATAACAGACTTGTCTTCCATCAGGCAAATAATTAACAGGCATAGATCATTTGGTGAGCGGGCTGAACGGCGAGGCCATCCTTGAAAGGAATGCGTGACAAACATACCTCTTGGCTTGACAAGGATGCCAGCTGCTGCCTTCCTTCCCTTTCCTCTTCATTGATGGTGGTTTGTGTGGAACCGCAGCTGACATATATTGACTCCATTAGTCACCCACCTTTCTGGTAGCATACCTTTACGTTATCATGGAAGGCAAAGATGTGGAGTGATGTGAAATGAGGGAAGGAGAAGACAAGCTCTCCTCTCTTGTGATGTTGTTCTACCACCCTAGAGAGACGCACGCTGGCCCCAGCTACTGAGATGTACCCACCTGACTGTGGAACCATGAGCGATGAGCGATGCATTGATTTACTTTATACGTCACCCTTAGCAGTGCTTAAAGCAGCTTACAATGAACAGCCACATAGCAAAATCCAAGGCAAAGGGTGGGGGAAATCAGTTGACCAAACATCAGTCAATTCAAATAGGACAAAAACAAACCATTTAGCAAACATACAATGAACTCACTATTGAGACTTCAATGCATCCATTCAGTTGTCCATGCAGGGCAACCTTATGGCTGGATTACTGCAATCTTGGGGTTGGTCTGGAAGCTGGAGTGTGTCCTTGCACTCCGATAATTGTCACTTGCTTGCCTGTGTGGGGGACAGAGAGGGATATGTGGATGAGAATAGAAGGAGATCAACTGTACAAAGGAAAGATTTACCTTCATTGCTACACCCAGTTTTGCCTCTGACCTCGTCTGCCACTGGGTGGACCAGGGACAGTGTAAGGTCAGTGTAAGCCCTGCCCCCATTACTCCAGTAGGGGGGTATTGCTGAGTTCCAAGAACCCCCTGGACTCCCTGGATCGGGTGGGGTGGGGTGGGACAGTTCACAGCCCTGATATGTACAGCTACAATCGCATCATCTGGAGAAGGTGGCTGTAAGACATGGCTACTATGCTTACATTTGCAAGAACAGCTCTGAGCACAGCTTGCCGTTGTCACAGCTCCCATCTCAGAAGCTCTTACCTGCAGATAAGTAAGAGATCATTATTCAGGAAAACCACAGTACAGGCAGCAGTCACAAGGCTCAGAAGTCATGGTTCAGAAGTTCAAGAGCAAGGTACGATGTTCAGGCCTGGGTGGAAGCAATGAAGATGTCCCAACAAGTGGTTCTGCCCCTCTCACCAAAAGGGGAGGTATGGCGTGCTCACTAACGAGACTCGCTCACCTTGCAGGAACATTGGTGTTACAAACATGGGCTCCTTTGGGCTGGGTAAGGAGTGCTCCCATTTGTGAAAGCGGTACCTGATTCGCAGAACCTTCCTGTTCAGGCTCCTATTCAGTCTCTGCTGCTTCCAGCTGTACCTTACCCCCATAGCTGCTCCAAACCCTCCTCCAAGCCAGCAGAGGGGGGGAGCCGACAAACCTGCTCCCCCTTCCAAAGTGGCTGAAGTTGCAGCAGAAAGGAGCCACCCCACATCTTCTACCCAGGTTCCCACCATTCACCATCACCCAATAATTTCTACCTCCTGTGTTGGTGCCTGCCAATGCAAAGATGATCCTAACAGCACTGTGGGGCTCGAGACATCCCCTTTCCTTAATTTTATGCAGCTCTTGAAAAGCCCTACAAGATAACCCACTAGTTCCAATCAGGAGCAAACAAGGCAAGGCTAAAGAGAACTCTGGTCCCTAATGGGCTTTAATGCTCTGCTTTCATGCAAGGGGGCTTTGCAGCCATTAAAATGATTTCTTTGCTTTGGAGAAAGGGTGCAATTACCTTTTGCTGGCAGCTTGCTTGTTTGCATTTCATCTGGCTTCCTGGAGAACCCAGGAGCAAAGCAAAGCTCTTTACTTGGAACCGGTCACAGATTCCCCTCTGTTTAATGTCCCCTCCATTCTCTACAGAGCGGCATCAATGGGATTGTTTCTTGATCAAACCCAATGAATCGTCGGAATTAACCCTGGAGATGTCACACCATGTTAACTGCACCAGAGATGTTATGGGCCCAATGATCAGGCCCAGACCGGCGCAACAGATTGTATGCTACTGCAACTAACAAATACAGTGAATGAATAGCTGGATAATAATAAAGGCAAATCTGTCAAATTCATGCTTTCCAAAACAAAATGCAAACTGAACTACAGCTACCTTGAAACTTCACACATATCCAAATTTTGCGATGCAGTTCTCCATTCAAACATTAAATGCACATAATAGGGGAAAGCGTTTGTAAAAATGAATGCGTTTGTAAAAGCAACACAGAAAATGCATTATTAGGGGAAATTGCTTGCAAAAATGTGTACACTGGAACCACCAGCATAAAAGATGTGTTAATTAGCAGATACGCACACCAAAACACAGATAGATTTTCATGATTTTTTTAAAATCACAAATTGATGCAGAAATTTGAAGAACTGAATTTAAGGCTAGAAATAATGAGAAACTGAGAGAAGTGAAATTGACAGATTCTTCCATCCCTAGGCTCAAGTGAAGCCTGTAGCTGAGCTGACTGGCATAGCATTCTCACCTGACTTCTGTTTCCACTTTGCTGATTTATTTCACAGGCTTTGAATGGTGTCAGCAGTTCCAGCCTTTGCCTCCTCTCTGCTCTGGACCTCATTAGAGAAGGAGACATTAAAAATACATGCTCTGCTTAAGACCAGGAGCAACAAGAAGAGTGTCAGGCGGGGAGGGGAAGGGAGGCAAGGGAGGGCCTTTGGTGGAAAGGCTGAGCACATCATTCCACGTGACTGTGCTGTTAAGCTATTGTTTGTCTAGGCTCAGGCATATGAAAGTGAGCAAGAGGATCCCCCGTCTTGCTCTGCTGCTTGTAAGGTTGCTTTGCTTCTCGTTTAGCTTGCTGCAGGTGTGCATGAGCGTAGCTCAGAGCCCCATCGATGAATTTCCTTTTGTACTTCTTGGGAATCCAGCTGATCAACACAAAACAAAAAAAGGCCTTTGAGCAGAGCAGAGCAGAGATGGAAATGGCAGAGGAGAGGAAGCTGAAGCACGAAGCACCTTCGCAAACAGCTAAAAAGAGAATAATTTATTATTGCATGGCCAGCCCTTTTTTGAAATCAAACTATTTGCGAAGCCCTGTGCAAACGGATCATGGCTGATGTTTCTGGCTTTTCTTTCTGGCTCCGTCCATTCTAACACTTCAGCTGGTAAGCTAAACCTCTGCTGCCTTAGTTCAAATTGTAAGCTCCATGGGGCAGAGACTTTTGCTTTGGTATGCAACGTTCCATGTACTGGGGACATAGTGAGTTTCCTTATACTGAGTCAGAGCTGTAGGGATGTGCACAGATGCCAGGAGAAGATATATGCATTGGATTTTATCCTACCTTCTTCATGTTTGTGAGTTCAGCAGAGTGCCATCCCTTTGCAGCTTAAAAGGGAAGCTTAGATAGGCTAGTTTTAGCCTTTTAGTTTAAGTAATCCAGGGTGCTTTAAGGCAGACTGGATTTTCCTTTTCTCCCCCTTTAAAACAACAATCACACAAACAGTCATTGTAAAAGGTGAAAATAACATTGACTCACCCAGATTTTCTGTTGCAGAAGGACAGGTGCAGTATCTTTGTTCAGGCAGGTTTAAAATGGTAATTTGGTTACACAGACATACTTTAGTCTAACTTGAAATGGAATCTGAGCTTACCAGTTGTTCTCACCTTTCTGGCTTGGTGATGAGATGAAGAGGTAACAGTGAAGAGAGGCAAAACAGGATGTACTCGGGCAGGTAAGGAGACTTTATATGACTAGACCCTCCCCTAGTCAGAGCACAGTGGGAGTGTCTCACAGAGGTCTCTCTAGCCAACTTACAGGAAAACTCTGTGAGCTCTAGCTCCTATCATGTGCTTATCTAGCAAGGCAATGAATTGTTGGTTTGACTGCCCTTTGACTATCCCACACAAGCATTGGCCTCTCTAGCTCTGTATTGTCTACACTGACTGTCAGCTGCTCCTCAGGGCTCCAGACTGAAGACATTCCCAACCCTGCCTGGAGATACGAAGGACTGAACCTGAGACCTTCTACACGGAAAGCAGGTGCTCCATCCCTGAGCTATGGCCCTTCCTCTAATTCCAGATAAACAAGGGTTGGTTTTGGTTGGTTTAAGCACAATACTATGGATTCTATTCATGCTCAGAAATATGCTCCTCATTGCTATTCACTTATTCCAGGTGACTGGGCATCTTCCAAGGCCATTACCCTGGTCACCAAGGGACACAGCACTGAAAGAGGGAGAGAAACCACAGCAGGAACAGCTTGCTCTGCCTTCCTGTTTCACTCTCATTTAACCCACCACACACACACACACACACACACACACACACACACACACCCCTCCATTTTGTGCCAGACCCCTGGATTTTGAAGAGACAGGCATGTCATTCTCCAGCCACAGGGGTGCATCACCTTCCAAGCTTAGGACACTCAAG